CCGCTCGTATTTGTCTGAAACCTGATGTTGTATTTTCATATCTGACTCTGAACTGCCTTCCAGTAAGAAAGGACGATAGGAGCTCCACATGGTTACATGCCAGTAAGAAAGGACGATAGGAGCTCCACATGGTTACATGGATTATACGATGTAAAGTCAAATTAAAATTAAAATCATTACCTAAAATAAAAAATTAATGACTTAATGAATCACTTAATTTTGGATGTTATGTAAGATTAAGATTAAAAATATGCTGTTACTTTGTGTAAATATTAGTATGTGTAAACTTGAAAGAAATTTGCAGCCACTGGTCTCCCTAAATAATATGTATCCATAAAATTTTGGAAGGAAAAATTCAGCTCTTTCTCGCTACGGCTGAAAAGGAAAAGATAATATTGATTAATATCTTGCGACTGGATATATTATACATTTTGATAGATAAAAGTAAACTTGTAAGACTTATCGAATAAAATTAACCAGAAAATTTTCTGAGAATGCTCCCCATGACATAATCCATTAGATTTAAGAAGGGAAAAAGTTAACCTTCTTTTTTGTCAGCTTCGGTAAATCAAACTCCATTGTAAAATTATAGCGTTGCTTAAAAACAAAGAATACCATTCGATAAGCACCTGCAGGGGGACACGGAAATAAAAAAAAATTAAAATCAATCCCTTGCAGCGATTTATTTTATGTTTATAAACTGAAAATTCTAGGACTCTATAATGTATGTGAGTTTTACCTCATATTAATGTGAAGTCTGATAGCACATACTATATTTATGGATCGCACGTCGATATGACAGTTGACAGTGCAGGTGAATTTTCTTTTGAATAATACTACCTTGACAATCAAAACACGATGAGAAAAATAAATTATTTTTTGAGTGATAGATAAAAAATTATATTTTATTATACATATAATGGCTCAACCGCAACCCGTATCTTTACTGAATCATTAATATGACAGAATCAGTTTTTGTTCCTAGATAGAATGAGCTCGATTATTATGCACTTTAGTAGACGTGACTGATGAACAAACGCTCAGCAAACCTCTGATTAGTTCGCTTTTTTAACAGTTAATTTGACTATTACAGTCATCCATATGTAAGAAGAAACTTAAATAATGAGTAACTAAATAAGGCAGTAAAAATAAATATTTCCTCCTCTTATTTTGGTCATTGTTCTCA